AATTAAACTTTAAGTAAAAAAAATACCAAAGAAATAGTCAAATCAAATAAAAAAATATACCAAGGATATCATCAAAATCAATGTAAAAATTACTAAGTAAACAATCAAAGTAAAAGTAAAAAAAAAATCAAGATAATTAAATTATCAAAATCAAGGTAAAAAAAAACAAGTAAATAATCAAAATCAAGGTAAGGAAAAAAAAAAAGTAAAAAAATAAAGTCAGGATTAAATACCCAGAAAATAATCAAAATCATAAGTCATTGAAAGCCAGTAAACTTTTCAAAAATGTGTATGTTTTTGGTTTTGCTTTAGATGCATAGAACAATTGGTGCTTAATGTTATTCTAGTGGAAGGTTGAGCACGCCCTTATATGTAATCTTTAGAGATGACCATTTGATATTTGTAAGGAGTAGACAGGAGGGTCTTCAAAATTGATATTCTGGCATGGTATTTAACAGAAAACAAGTAACTGCTACTGGGGGGGGGGGGGGGGGGGGGGTAAACGACCTTGGCTACTTATGAGATAAACAAATAACTTTGCCCACAATAGGATGAAAATAAATATTTTTTTCATTATTTTTTTTTTCCCGTTTTGCAAGTGTATTGAATTTTTGCTAACAGTTTAGAGTTTAGTACATTTGTTATTTTCTATTCAGATGAGACACTGAAATATCTAGTTGTATACTCTCCAGCCTCATAGAAATAAAAAGACAATGTTATATACAAGATGTTCATGGCGCAGCGTTTGGCTTGCCCAAGACTTTAAACATATTCTTAAGGAAAATTTAGTTCAAGTTCTCCATTTATTTTTTTAATTCACAGGGAATAAAATGGATGGTCAGGAAATGTCGTTGGTAAAATGCTACTTCGATTTTGTTATATTCAGTAATGCATGTGATATAATCTACATACCAAAACAACGTTAAACTGTCCTGTCTATGTGGACAAAAAACATGAATAAAATGAAATGTTAGGTATAGGTCAATGAGACAGCAAACGACTAGAACAACCTTAAAGAATCTAATGGTAAACATTATCAACGGTCTTATTTCAAGTTGCTCGCCCCGAAAAAAACCTCAGCTAATACAAAAGATAAGCACTCACGTTGTTCTCGATTTGGATAGGCACATAAACATGAATATCGGGATTAAATTACATTTTTGAGATGTGCAAGATCTGTAGTCATAACAAAAAAGTCACTACACGTACAATTTTCTTGAAATTCTAGAAAAATTACCCTAACCCTCCCCGCTATCGCAGGATTTTCTGTTTGTTCAGTGTTGAAGATTTTTACGGTTCATCCATCTTGATTAAAAAATCGAAATCGATTTTATTTAATTTTATTGTGTTGTAAAAGCTTTGACCGAAGCAAATTTTGTATGAAGTCGGCGGAAGCGCTTCACAAAAAGTGTGCGCGCACGATCAACGCTTTTACAACCCCAAAAGATAAAAGAAGCATTCAATACTTAAAATTACATTTTTATGCTATCACCATAAATTTAGAGTTAGATCAAGCTTTTCGTGTGATTATCTATGCATTGTTGTTATGGGGAGCACATGCAATCTTGAATGTTGCATTTTATTGAAAAATAATCGGATTCTTATGCAAAGCATTATACTATGTAGTTATCATGACATATGTTCTTATTGCTGTTCTAACTATGTACGATGTGACCTTTGTCATTGTGTGCAAAAGCGCGAAAATTATAACCAAAGTACTGAAGAACTGAACATCGGATGACCGCAAGCTCTGGTGGATGGTCTCAGGAAAAAAAATCATATCTCTATACCTGAAAGTTAGGTTATGGTACATAGATATATTTTTTTCTAAGACAAGTTCCTGTGTGGATGATGAATAAATGACAGGGAATTTAACCTCACCGTAATACTTATTATATTTTAGTGATATAATCATTTAGTATCAGTATAATCTGGTTTGTTGTTATATATTATATTAATATTTGTATAACAGTTATATATTTAGCAGATCATCTCTCGAGATATTCTTCCGCATGCGTTAACACAAATTTTCGGTATTCATGATTTGTTACTGAACTATATATATTTCTCACGACAAAACATTTTCATATCATTTATCTTTGTTCTTAAAAAAATATTTTCATAAATATTCGTTGAAGAAATGAATTTATAACAAGCGATATATATAAGGAATTTTATTTTGCACTCGATAATATCCGCGTATTAATACGAAATACGGTCGGTTATCAGTCAAAAGCGCAATGAAATTTTTGCGGCAACAGAACACCGGTATGACCTCTCAAGGTAACATCCAATATAAAAATAAGAAGATGTGTAATGATTTCCACTGATATCCACCAAAATCCAAAGGAAAAAGATGTGAACACTTGCAGATCAATGTTGGGCCTTGAACAATGTTTGTGTGCTTGCTTGTTGGTGTTAAACGCCACTTTCTGCTACCTTGGTTATATCATGGCGGCCTGTATATATTGGTGGAGGAAGCTGGACTACGATGAGAAAACAGCCGACCTTCGGCAACAAAAAATGTCAATCCATGTCAATTAACCTTTAACAAGTAGCAAACGTATAGTATATATAAAAAGAAGATGTGGTATGATTGCCAATGAGACAACTCTCCTCAAGAGACAAAATGACACAGAAATTAACAGCTAGGTCACCGTACGGCCTTCAACAATGAGCAAAGCCCAAACCACATAGTATGCTTATAAATGACAAAATGCGAAACAGTTAAAAAATTAAAAACCAACGACCTGATTTGTGCTATAAACCATAAATTAAAACGATAACCTGACAGTAACCATCGACAACAACTGAATTCCAGGCAACAAGCTTGCGACAGTCACATAAAAAATGTAGCGGACTAAACATGATGGTGAGCGCTCAACCCTTCCCTTACCTGGGACAGCGTTGTAATATTACAACTATGGAACAAATTCAGATCGGTACTAAGCTTAATAACTAACAAAGTTACAAACGACAAAAAGAAACGACCAATAAGAGTAATGACAGCTAAAACACGCTAACTCCATGTCCTTTTTCAACTAAAATGAATGACTGGCTTTATTTCTCATAAACCTACAATTTCCTATTTAAAAATACATATGTAGTGAAATAACTTCATACATGTGTGAACAATTCTAAAAACAAGACCACGTTTCTCATATTGAATCAATGAATCAGTACCAGTCAAGGTTTTACTCTTTGCCAGGACTGTCCATGAAAATACAAATCAGTATAGTCAAGGTTTACACTCTGTCCGGAGTGTCCATGAAAATACAAATCAGTACCAGTCAGGGTTTTACACTTTGCCCAGACTGTCCATGAAAAAGCAAATTAATACCAGTCAAGGTTTACACTTTGTCCTGGCTGTCCATGAAAATACAAATCAGTACCAGTCAAGGTTTACACTTTGTCCGGACTGTCCATGAAAATACAAATCAGTACCAGGCAAGGTTTACACTTTGTCCGGGCTGTCTATGAAAATACAAATCAGTATCAGGCAAGGTTTACACTTTGTCCGGACTTTCCATGAAAATACAAATCAGTATCAGTCAAGGTTTAGACTTTTCAGGATCGTCCATGAAAATACAAATCAGTACCAAGCAAGGTTTTACATTTTACCCGGACTGTCCATGAAAATACAAATTAGTGCTAGTCAAGGTTTACACTTTGTTCGGACTGTCAATGAGAATACAAATTAGTACCAGTCAAGGTTTTACACTTTACCCGGACTGTCCATGAAAATACAAATCAGTGCTAGTCATGGTTTTACACTTCTGCTTCTGCCAGATAATGGCCACAATGAACGAATGATTATACTGCCATGGCTTTGGTGCGCATACTGTACCATCCCCCTCTCCCATTTTTTAAAAATTTAGTTCAGCTTTGTCATCGAGGCTTTAAAGGCCGCGACTGACGGTGCTGATAAACCCCAGGAGGAAGAGCGTTCCAATCCCGAATGGTTCTTTGGAAGAATGAGATTTTGCGATAATCGCAAGATGCCGATGGTAATTGAAAGTACTTGTCGTGCATGTTTCTCGACAGTCTTTTCGGTGGTATAAGACGACCTTCCTTTGACATGGCCACTTTGTTGTTCTCTATTTTGTAGAGCATTGTGAGTCTCCCTTCTTTCCTTCTTTGTTCTAGGATGTCCATTTTAGGTGTTGGAGCATCGTGCTGAGTGGTTATGATGTTTGTTAGAGACACAGCGAGCTTCTCTTCTTTGGACCATCTCGAGTCTGTCAGTCTATGTCTTAAGGTATGGATCCCATACTGGACTGGTGTATTCTAAAATTGGTCGTACCAGTGTTTTATAGGCATTCTCCTTTATTGTAGTTGATCCTATATTTAAACTTCTTTTTAGGAAGCCAATTCTTCGATTTGCCTTGTTACATATATTATTTACATGGTCATTCCATCTGAGTTCTGATGTAAATGTGCAGCCTAGGTATTTTGCACTGCTGACTGATTTAAGAATATGACCATGTAAGCTGCATAAAGTTGCAGTTGTGTTGTTTTTCCTGCTGATGGTGAGTACATTGCATTTGTCAGGTTGGAATGACATTTTCCATTTTGTTTCCCAAATACCAAGTTTGTCCAGATCTTTTTGTAAATCATGTGAATCTTTGTCTGATGATATTGTGAGGTAAGCTATTGTATCGTCTGCAAATAGTCGAACAGAATATTTAATCCCATCGGGCATGTCGTTAATGTAGAACAGGAATAGTGAAGGCCCAAGTACTGAGCCTTGGGGTACTCCCGACTCTACATCAATATGAAATGAGCTTTCTCCATCCACAACTACTGCTTGGGTCCGATGAGACAGGAAGCGATCCACTTTACCCGGACGCTCATGAAAATACAAATCAGTGCTAGTCAAGGTTACATTTATCCGGACTGTCCATGAAAATATCGTATTTAGTAATAGATGTGTTGTTTGATTAGTAAAAACTTATGTAGTTTCAATAATTCACAACATCGGCATAGCAATCAACGAACGGTAAAAATGTCAAGAAGTTTATTAAAATTGCAACATGAAAAAAACAGGACAATTAAACTGACAACAAACAAAACAAAAATAATCAGAAAAACAAAGATATTGTTCAAGAGATGTTAGGGGAGGTTGGTTGAGTTGGGTTGGGTTGGAGGGGAATTTTGGATCCCACTCTTAAATGAACTGTCATTATACACGATCAATTGATTGATAAGAATTATTGATAAGCTCAATGGTGCTTAGAGGCTTTAGAGTTGTATACATTAATTTTAATCCCTTTTGATACAAACACCATCAAGTGCTTAAATGACATTTTCATATTTGTGACATTAAAACAGCTATAGAATAAAGAAAAAATGTCATAACGTGTATCAACCGTAAAGCCAAGTTGTGAATTCAGAAAAGAGTCTTGATATAAAATGGAGATAATTCAGGATTTGGGAAATGACTTTCACAAATATATATATATAGTTCAGGAGTTTGGAAACGGTTTACAGAAAAAAAAGGATGAAGTCGTAGGTTTCTTATAAGAAGTTACTCTGCTAAAAAAAAAATTTCTGCTTAGATAGTTAAAAAAAATAAAATTTAAGCGAAGACACACGATTTAACATGAAAAGATAATACACAATAATATATTCGATAAATATTCAACTGTCATGCAGTTAGACTTTGAACTATCTAAATCATTTAGATGTTAATAGACCCTAATGCTGAAATAAACGCCCAATAGCAATAATTGTACGGTAAAAAATGAATTCAATAACAGTAAGAAAAATGTTTAACTTTTAATCAAACAAGTGAAGTTTCCATTTCTATTTGTTGGATTACGAATTTTTTATTTTGAGAGCACAAAAAAAAAGACCAAAAGATAATATTATATAGTTTTTAAATTTAACAGTAGAATCAGATCAAAACAGTTACGTTTTTAACGAGCTTTCGGATAATACAAATTTTAAACATGACCAAGTGCATGCTTGTGATAAAACAACAAAGAAATTTCATTCATACAATATTTTTGAATTAATACGCTCATACAGTCCCATCACACCATCAAATATTATACTTGACAAGGATTTCACAGCATTCATTCTGATAAATACATTTATTCAAGGTCACAGGTCCTACACATATACAGTATGAACACAATATCACAAAGTCCCGTTTGTATTGTCGTAACGTCTTTCAACCAATGCCAAAAACCATCGGTTTATGTATCGGGAGAATCAATAATATGTGTGTTGTCGCCACGGGAATTTCCAAGAATCCGGTCACAAAAGGGCGGCCATTGCCCAATCGCCCTTAAATTTTTACATCTTAAGACAAGAAGAGTTGTTCTATTTGGATAGTTACGTCTTGTTCTGACATAAGAATTGTCGTTGTTTTCTGAGTGTCGTCTGCTACGCTTCACTTTATTTCTGATATGTTTTATTTCCCGTAAAACTTCTATGGCTGTAATACAAAAATAAAGCATTAAACAACATACACAACCTATATATAGCTGATGTAGTTAAAGCATCAAACATTGGCTTATCGTAACAAGGTTAGTTTCTTTTATGAAGAGAATATGTTATATGCTTTTTTCACTATCATACCCGTATATATCAAAACGATACACTGATATACTAGCAAGGGAGCTACCATTTGATTTTTATGTTTATCCTGACTTTGTTTACATAAATTGTCATCCTGTTTTTTTTTTTTTTTTGCCAAATTGCTCATCCAGCCTTTTTGTTTTTTAACTCAAAACTCCTGTCCTGCCTTTTTTTCAAATTTCATCCTAGCCTATCGAGTTCTGATCGAGTCATACTGGTTGAGGATTAATGCGGCGTGTGATATTGAAAAGCCTATATACACTTTAGCATACCGTGTATATAGGCTTTTCCTCGGAGTTCGGTATATTTATGATTTTACTTTTTATTGTTGAAGTTTAAACCAGGCCGTCAGTTTTCTCTTTTTTTTAATTAATCCCTATTTTGTCATCCAATATCCTTCCATAGTTTACTATACGGTATCGGTTTTGCTTTTCGTTGACTGCCATATTTTGTCCTGTAATTGCTCACATTTTTATCATTTGTCTTTAATGGATACCGGCCCGATAGTTGTTTCATTGGCAATCATACCGTATCTGCATGTTTTATAACGTTGGAGCTTGAAGTTTCCCGAATGCAATTTAAACTTTTTTCAACAGGAAGACAAAAGTCTTGTACAATGGTCATTTATCTATTGCATGATAACCAATTATTCAAGTGCGATTCTGCATTCAAATGTATCGGTTTATTGTTGCGTAAGCTTTTCTCTGCGATATTAATATAAATTATTTAGATTTTAATTCAAATGAGTTTATGATTCGTGAATAACCAAAAACTGGCAATGCAATATAAAGGGACTGATCAAGACTGGCAATGCAATATAAAGGGACTGATCAAGACTGGCAATGCAATGTGAAGAAATGGTGAATTTACCGAGAGTTAACTTTTTATGTTGAAATGTACATAGCGAATATAATGAAAATAAGATGCATGTGCATGCCCAAAAAAACCCTGATATACGGTATTTAAGTCTTTTCTATTGAATTGTTATATCTGAAACGTTTAATGCACAGATGTTGTAGCCGATAGTCCAAAAAAAGCAATATGTTGTTGCAGATAGTATAAATAGGCAATGTGTTGTTGCAGATAGTATAAATAGGCAATGTGTTGTTGGTTTCTTACTTTTCACCAAATCGAACGATATACAGTGACAGCACATTTTCTGATGAAAAAATTTAGCTTAAAATGTTTAAAGTACAAACCATCATCTATTTCTGCTTCCACGGCTGTCTCTAGATTTTCCAAGTCTCGAGGTGAAATGATGGACCTTGATTTCACCACAGTTTGAGTAATGAAAACCAACAAATACAAACATAATATGCTTCTATACACATCCATCGTACGCTGAAAAGAATACCAATGGCGTAATGTAACTAGCAGTTTTTTTGGTTAAGATGAAATACTGACTCATAAACAAATAAAAAGTATTTTATGAAACGTCATAGATATTAAAGTGCTTTGTCCTTCTATGTTTATAATTAAATATTTCAACTAATAATAAACAAATATAGTAAAAATAACAGTTAACCTAAATTAAAGGGCACTTAACTTTATTCAATAGTAGTATATTTACAGAAATTGTATTTTAAAGTGTTTGTTTGAAAACTTTAGTATAAAACAGGGTGCAGCAGAGGTAGGGTCGATTGGCGTTAAATTTAAGGGAATACGATACAGTTTTGATCCCAGGGTGAGTTTTTGACGAAAGTTTGCACAAAGGCTATTTTTCACCTAGTCAATTCAAATATGTAATAAAAAATATACCTTCATGTGCTATCTTTAGGGATAAATGGGGTCGAAATTTTAGCCATTTACTGGAAATTACGATTTCTTGGAAAGGCACACTTAACTTTTTTGTTCCAAAAGATAAACGCAAGCGGATTTTTGTAAAAGCATCTGGAATATCTTCTCTACATAATTGTGCTTTGAATTTGTGTGACAATTCTTTGGACATTATTCATTTTATCAAATTTTCATGATTTTACGGCATTTTTTGCTGTATATTTATCTAATTTAAAAAAAATCATCGGTTTTTTCTTCCATAAAAAATGGCACAAATAATCTTCATACATAATCAATCCAAATTTCATTTTTAAAAAGACGGGTCCATGAACTCATTTTTAAGTTAAATCAGTCTGAATGATAAAAATCAGTCGAAAATGCATCTTTTCCCGTTGTGTCACAGTTTGACGTCGTGAAAAAGAACATTTTACGCTAGGAATGTCATGATCTCCCCTGTAACTGTATCGTATGCTCTTGATTCAGTTCAAGGCCACCTTTCAAAAGCTTTTCAATCTCCATCAAAATTCACAGCCTAGTGTGTACTTTTAGCCTCTAACAATATTATGGACTATTTCTAAACATATGACCATATTATAAATATCACTTAAATCAACACTGCAATTTTGATAGATCTTTGATTTTGGCATGTGTTGCCGTCTTTATTTATCCAACAAATGTATAAGAAGGACATTCATAACCAAAAGGAATTCAAACAGTATATTTTGTTAAGTTACAAATGATATTTTTTTTATAAAAGATTTCCTTAAAATCAAATTTTACATAAAACATGTACATCAACGGCAATAGGTATCGCAGATTAACATGTAGATTTTTAAAGGAAGACGATTAACAATGAATTTAAAAATACATGCTAAAAACTGTTCAAACATTCAAATTCAAGTAGTTGACAACTTTCTGATTTGGACCCGTTGACCCTGTGGGTGAAACAAGTAAAGGAAAAACACAGATAATCAATAAGTACTAAAGTTGTAAGAAGTGCATTTTCCTCGAATGATTTGCCTACACACCTACAGGAAAATAACACTCATGCAATAATACCGGACGATGACTCTATTTTGGAACAAACGTCAAATTCAATAGTTTGTCTTAATGATAATATTATTATCCTTCCTAAATTTTCAACAAACTGTTAGTGTCAGCTGCTTATAGTTGATTATCCTGGAATAGGTCAATTATACCGAAAATTGGTGGATTTATAAAAATTATATTGTTAGATGTTGTACATAATGAGTTGACGATAATGCAATGCTTGTATGACGGAAATGTGAAAAATGATGACATTGCTTTTATCGTACGTTGGAAGTAAGACTTGTATAATAGAATAAAGTACCGCAATCCTGTGTAATATATGCTGCTTCACTGTTGGAAGACTGTTTTCAACGGGGTCAACAAGTTATAGTGAATTAGCATGTTAGGTTAATGCAAATGAGGGTATATTCGTATATCATTAGGAATATGAATATATCATTTCTCAATGGACGATAATAAAAGCGTAAATCAATCCCTAAATGAATTTAAATTATCATGGAGTTAGTATAATTTCTTATTACTTTAAGCTTAAAGGTTGCTTTCATCAATAATTTGATGTCATCGCATTTTCACTACTAAAATGTTCAACTTAAATCAACGCCGTACAAAACTCTTTTGTGCTGACTTGCTTTAATGTCTTTATATCGGATCATATTTTTTTCTTAACAAGTGCTTGAACTTATAAGATTTAAATATCGAATACACTTTTTGTATTTTCATATATATATCAACCAATATATTTCATATAGTAATGTTTTATACATAGCAATTAAAACTTTTAATTTAGAACTATTTATTTTATACAAAAGGAAGAAATGATCGTCTTTTCAATTTTAAACATAATTGCGAACTATTTGAAAAAGATTTTTTTTATGAAAATTGAAAACATCAATAATGTTTGAATGAAATGTACTGAATTGCCAAAATTATGAACCTAAAAGACCCTTTCAAAAAGTTGTCATAGGGAATTCATTTTATATGCCGTTTTTAACAGAACCTTTGCATTTACGCAGTCGAGCACGAACTACATGTATTAAATATTTTATAACATGTTATCGTCCTGAATTTAATTACTTACGACTTCATTGTTTAATCTATCTAAGTAATTGAAGTTCACCCGTACTTTTTTTAAAGATTTTTAAAGAAAGCAACCATTTCAATATTCATCTTAAATATGACTAACATGTAGATTTTTAAAGAGAAAATTGTAAAATTTTGTTATCATTTAGATGAGACTATTGCGCAATATATCGATTCTAAAATACTGTGATATAAACAGAAATGCGAACACATTTTGATGTTTCCAGTGCAGTACTTAGTATAGTGCAATGGCTATTAATGAGTTTACATTATTTTATTTCATAAACTATTTATATTTCCACAAGGAGATGTGACATGATTGCTAAGGAGACAAATACCTACCAAAGTCCAAATGACGTGGATGTAAGCAACTTAATGGAATCAGATTCCCAGAAACAATGCAGTTTTTAATTGTTTTACTACCACTGTGTCGATACCTTATACTTGAATAAATTTATGAACATCGACAATTTAAAGTTAATTTACAACATTCGCTCATCTGAAGCAGCTAGTTGTAGATATGTAATAACAACAATACACACATAAAAGAAAAAAAACACAAAAGCAAAACCCCACCCCAAGAATAAAAGAAATAGAAAAATCAAAAAGATGAAAACAATTTCTCAAAACATTACAGAGAACACTGAAATTGAGTATCATCTGTACCCCGTAAATCCTCGGTTGTACTTGTATGATTCAGACAAAAAAGTTTCCAAAATTAGAAATTGCAAGTAAAGAATTTTTTTTTTTTATTTGTTTGATAGTTTAGTTCAATATTTATATAATCAAATTCGAGTAAAGATACAAATGGATTAAAATACTTTTAGTATGCTTTGAAATATTATGTGCTTTTCTTAAAATTTCAAATTAAATTAAATATACTTACTTTTTATTGAACTACAGTTTGGCAACCATACAGTAAAACGGTTTTGATGAAATGTAACACAGCACGAACAGCTGATCACAAATGATATATTCATATAAATCTCAAGTGACCTTAACAGACTGTATCATTCATTGGTCCCCTTAGAATATCCTTGACTAGTCATCAACGATTGGGCGACATTTTATTCAATGATGGTTAATCATTTCAGAAATGTGCTATTGTCATTGATATAATCAATAACGTAGAACCATTTCAAAATTATTGTCTGAAACGACTTTTTGATATGGTGACAATTTTGATAGTATTGTTTAATAATTTGCAAGTTTGATTGGAAAGAAAGATTTAAACATCTGTGTGGTTAATTTATGATATTAGAACAACAAGGTGCCCGTTGACACTACGAAATACTGTTTAAACTTAAAGTAGAATATTTTATAAAACCTTAAAAGTGGTATTTTTTAAAATTTAATTTGTCAAATCATTTGGAAAGTCATAGATTGTTTAGGATATGACTTGTTAAGGGATAAACAAGTTTTCTTATCACTTCATCTTTGTAAACTCTGCCTTTGATTCGGTTTGAAAAACGACATGCATTTATTAACGACATTTTCGGAGGACAATTTGAAGGATGAAGGCTACCATTAAAAGAGCTAAATTGCATCGTGATTATACTACACATTTGTCCCATTTTGAATGACAGGAAAGATTTAATTGGTCTTGGTTATTGTTAATGGTTGACAAGAAAGACGCCATTGGTTGTGTTAACCGTTTATGGTTGAAAAGAAAGACGTGATTGGTCGTGGTAGTCGTTTATGGTTGACATGAAAGACTTGATTCGTCTAGGTAATTGTTTATGGGCGACAAGAAAGACTCGATGACAAGAAAGACGTGATTGGTAGTGGTAATTGTTTATGGATGACAGGAAATACTTGATCGGTCGTGGTTATTGTTTATGGATGACAGGATTGACGTGATTGGTCTATGTTATTTTTTATGGATGACAGGAAAGACTTGATTCGTTGGGTAATAGTTGATGAATGACTAGAAAGACATGATTGGGCAGGATAATTGTGTATTGATGAGATGAAAATGAATGACCAGAATGATGTGATTTGTAATAATTATTGTTTCGATGATAAGAAAGACATGCATTGTCATGGTAATTGCTTAATAGATGACAACATGTCTTGATTAGTCAAGGTTACTAGGTGAGCAAGGATTTGACTATACAAATGCTTGATGTGAGTGGACCAGAATTATTTCTATTTGTAATTCCTTTCTGCGATCTTCGTTGATATACAATGAAAACAAAACTTGTAGACATGTTTTCTATAGTACAGTTATATAAACGTAGATAACTATTTTTGATCCTTATTTAAACAATAACTATCCATACAAGATACTTGTTTATTCTGTGTAATGACGGCTTTCATATGGTACTAAAACAGACTTGACGTGTGTATTTAAGGTAGATGGAAGGGGGGGGGGGGGGTCTAAATTAAAATCCATAGAAATTTTTTAATAATATGTCAAAATGTAGTTTATATCGTGCTTTTTTTCAAAAATATAATAAAAAATATGGGTCACCGGGCTTTTTTTCACGCTAAAGGTTGTGCAAAATTGTCGGATAAAATTCTAATAATATCCTTTCAGATAAGAAAAAGAAAAAATGGGGTCATCGGACTCGTTTTCTTGCTACATGATAAAATAGGTAAATTCATAACACATTTTATTATAAAAGTTACTTTATCTGAGTTATCTCCCCTTATGTGGCAAAGTTGAAAAATATCGAATCAAACAATAATATTCTGTTTTTTGTAAAATACAGTCATAAAATATGATAAAACACATAGTTTCTTTATAAGCATGACGTTTGAATGGTTTTACACTAGTAATTTTTGGGGCCCTTTATAACTTGCTATTCGGAGCCAATGCTCCGTGTTGAAGGCCGTACCTTGACCTATAATGGTTTACTTTTATAAATTGTTACTTGGATGGAGAGTTGTCTCATTGGCACTCATACCACATCTTCCTATATCTATGAAAAGGTTTACACATGAACTACATACTACTCTCGAAATTTGCACATTTAATTTAAGATCTAGACCGATTGTTATCTGCTATTTCAAAATCCAAGATGGAGGAAGACACCCGAGCCACCTTAAACCGTATTTGACAACGATTTCTGATTTAGAGGTGGACAACCTCTAACAGATTACAAAAAAATACTTTTTATTCATGTATAATGATTATTTTTTTCATTTTTTCAATATTGTAATTATTAACTATTTTGTGATTTTGGAGAGAGAAATATTCGTTTTCCCTTTTATTTTGATAATCATGTGCCAGAATGTTGTTAATTTAATTAAACGCGATTCCCGATAATTCGTAGAGAGGACACACTTTCAAAAAGTTATCATTAACCTATAGTACTGTAATTTTTATCGGTAATCTAATTTGCAAATAGACAACCCAGCTTCGCTAACGGTAAAGTGGGTGCTTATCTCTTTTTTGAAAATTGTGGTAGGTCTTACTAACACTTCGTGAAAAAATAATTAACTACATATTTATCAGGGGTCACAAGTTTTACAGAGTAGAGTAATGAGGTTTAATGGTATAGTGTCTTCTGTTTGTATGGTAATGCCAGATTCTAACAACTTACAATTTATCAACGCAATATAAATTGTATGAAGTTTTATATATATTATATCATTAATTTCATATTTTGTTAAAACTTTTTACTAACAATTGTATCCCCCCCTTCCCCTCTTCAACCTCAACACCCTTTGTGGTCTCCTGGTATGGTGCTCCCTTCAGTGTGAGGTTGGGGACCGGGGCGTGTGTCAGGAATCTGCAATACAGGAAATGTTATTTAAGCGACAACCAATCGATTGACAATGAATTTACCGCAGTATATATCTCTGATGGCATTGTATCAGTATCAGTATATGTGACAGAATGACTTTTACGACAATTTGCATCGTTATCAGTTTTCAGGTAACCAATTGGACCATTAAATTTTGACAAATTCATTTGATGAACGATATTATTTAGACCGATTAAATACCGTGTTTTAGTGGAGTTACATCGTGCATATAATTTGATTTTTACATCGGATGTGACCTTGAGAGGTCATACCGGTGTTATGTTGCCGCAGAAATTTCTGAAAATAGTCTCTTGCGCTTTTGACTGATAACCGAACGTATTTCGTATAAATACGCGGATATTATCGAGGGAAAAATAGCATTCCTTCTCGCTTGTTATTATATAAATTCATTTCTTCAATGAATACTCATGAAAATATTTTTTAAGAACATAGATAAATGATATGAAAATGTTTTGTCGTGAGAAATATATAAATCAGTTACAAATCATGAATACCGAAAATTTGTGTTAACGCATGCGGAAGAATATCTCGAGAGATGATCTTCTATATATATAACTGTACAAAAATTAATATAATATATAACAACAAACCAGATTATACTGATAACAAATGATTACATCACTACAATGTAATAATTATTACGGTGAGGTTGAATTCCCTGTCATTTATTCATCATCCACACAGGAACTAGTCTCAGAAAAAAATATATCTATGTACCTTAACCTAACTTTCAGGTATAGAGATATGATTTTTTGCTGAGACCATCCACCAGAACTTGCGGTCATCCGATGTTCAGTTCTTCAGTACTTTGATTTAATGTACTGACCTAACAGTGCTCCATGAATATTATAATAGTCATAGATGCTGTTCGGTGTGAGCCAATGCTCCGTGTTGAAGGCCGTACCTTGACCTATAATGGTTTACTTTTATAAATTGTAACTTGGATGGAGAGTTGTCTCATTGGCACTCATACCACATCTTCCTATATCTATAGAGCATTCAATTTCACATTAAATTGCATGATGTCAAATATTCGTACGGTTCAATTTCTGACAAATAAGGTTTAAAGTATTCAGGTTTTGTAAAATAAGAAAATTTATGAAAGACAATCATGGTTTTTGTATATTGAAACAGACAAAAAAGAAAGCTCATACAGTTGTAAAAAAATATCACAATCGACAAATAGAAATCTCTTTGCTGTTCTATGTTAAAAAAAAATCTTGTATGCGAATACCAGGTTTAAAAACATGCTGACTGAAAGTTTAAAGGAAAAAAAAACAAGTCGATATTCGTGCTTAGTGGTGATTGACAGACGGTATTTCCAATAAATCCATGACCTTTTGACGTCCGACTGAGGGGGAGGTAAATGGTTTTGACCATAGGACATCAGAGCGCAGTTAATGAAGAAAACATGGGAAATGCCAATCCTGATTCAGACACAGATTTGCGGGCAAGATTTGTTCCTGTTGAATTAAAAAGCAAAACAAAACTTCATCCAAATCAGATTTGAAAAAAAGTAACTTTATCGGGCAGGTCCCATTTACTCCTTTTTATCTTGAAACATAAATACCAAACCAAATATAGATAAATAACGGATAATAATGGCTGTTAACACAGAGAAATGTCTATGTTGCGTTGCTTTGCAACATAGCAAAAAAATCTTGATGCAACTGATGTACTCACCATGAAATGTTCGTAGCCGAGACAAACACAGTGAAAATCGGATTAGATAAATGTTTTTGAATATTTCAATAATTTGGCGTTGGTCCTTTTGATTCTCGTTTTAATCTCGAATGCGTTGAAGTACATAAAAGACGTTTGATAATAAATATTTTTTAGAGTTATACTAGGGGACGTTTAACATAAAAAACGACACTTTTTTATCCTTTTTATACTCCCTTTCTTAAGATTGTCTCGTGGTACCCACAACATACAACATGTCTTCGTCGTCTTAATTATCATAAAAATAAACATGCATATCCAGCGAAACCCACTTTTGGGACAAACGTCACCGGTAAAATTTGTTATAATAGCTATTCATACACGGAAGTCAAAACAATTATTGAGAAATGTTAAGTATTTACATCATCAGGTGCTTACTTTATAAGTATTTACATCAAGGTCAAGTATGAATATTTTACTTAATGTACTACAAGGAACCAATTTCACCTTCAATAATGCCTCTATTTGTCCACCCAGGCACTTGAACAAAGTTCATTGAGAAAATAAAAAAAAAAT